ATAAACACAGCATATATTCAACCACTCCTTAGAGGAAGTGATCCACACATATCCCAGTGCCTGAGCAGGTTCTCATAGTAGAAATCCTTGGTCTTTCAGGAAACCTCCAATGTAGAACTCTTTCCTTTATGTAATTATAATTTTGTGGCAACATCCTAAAGCAGCACATAGACAACTTGTGAAAACTGACTAAACATCAGGTAATCCCCAAAGAGACTGAACCCACTTCCTGAACTGTTAAGAGTAAGTAGCCACATCCTCTAGACTTCTGACACTTGTCACTCTGCTTTACATTCAAGGAGAATGTAAATGTCACAGACTAAATAAAATAAGCTACTGAATTTAAAGTCAGATGGACAAAAGAAGCATTAGTATAAAGAAGTACCAGGCCAACTACATGTACATAGAAGGTTGACTCAAAAACCAATTGTACCTTCACAGCTTTGCCTGTGATGTACTTATGCTGTGCAGAGAATCATTAAGGTTGGAAAGGACCTTAAAGACCATCAAGTCCAACCAGCATCCCATCAGCTTTCTCTTCTCTAGCTCAATGGTGCCCAAGGGCAGCAGGCTGGTGATGACACCAGTGCTTGCTACCTTGTTTGTCTACTCATATCAAGAGCAGGGGCCACCTCTCCCTCCTCTGGTATTTTTTTAAACCAGTATATGCAGGCAGAGACCAGAGGAGTGATTTCTGCCTAGGGAGAAACTGTGGAAAGAGGTGAATTTGTACAAATACCCACAACGAAATATCTCACTGCTTAGAAGAGTGCTGTGACACAGACATTGCAGTGCAGTACCTTGGTGTCACAATGATCAATGGAAAGATATTCCCTCCACACTTCCTCCTGCAAGTCAGAGCAAGACCTGATAAAGCAGGAATTCCCAAATATGATTGGACTGTTCCTCATCTCTAACTGCTATTGAAAAGCAGATTGTCACAGGTCACAGCTTGGCAGACAGCTTTCACACAAGAAATAAACCACAATTTTATGGAGTAGAAATCACAAAGAACCTAATCTGAATTTCAGTGACACAATACTGAAAGGGTTTGTTCCACACTGCCTGAATGTACCTGGTGTTAGCATACACAAAGCATGGAAGTGGCCATGCAATTGAGTTTTTCATATCTCTGAGAGCACAGCTATTTCCTTCTGATAGCCAAGAAATGACAGGATTTCTATGGAAAAGAAACAACCATAGATATAAATGGATTACAAAGCTGATGACTGCTTGATAAATGGAGTGAATGTCAACATTAGAGAAGCTGCATGGGAAGGGAAAGAGCAAGATTGACCTCTGAGTTGGCACAGATGTTGGTCAACTGTTGTCCATATTCATCCAAATAAATATGGAAATTGCAGGAAAACTGGATGAATGAGCACTTTGGAGTCAGCAGGGCTGCAGCAGTGTGAACAGGACCCAAATTTAATCCACCATATTTAGTTAATACTGTAATGAAATTAAAAAGGTCTTTAAAAAACCCCATACAGTTGTATGCTAGCAAGACATAGTACTAGACAAGTTGTCATTTACCCATGTTTAACATAAAATGTTGCTCAAGATACTACAGTTATTTCCTGTTCTAGAGGAGCACTGTCATAGGTAACACAAGGACTTTCACCAGCAGTTAATAGAAAGTCCTTAAAAATATCTGAATACAACTGTTACAGGTTGGAAGCTGCAAGTATTTGTAAGGACTTAAAAAGCTTCTTGGATCATGTGACTTAAGTATTTACAGAAATATTTCTTTCCCTTTCCTGCAATACACTAGCATGTGAAAATTCAGTAAATTCACCGTTTAACTGGACACAAGTGCAGTGACTCCCAGAGGGAGTCAAACAGAACTGGTCCTGCAGCAAGCCCTGCTCCTCCCCTCCACAGCAGAGGTGGAGCTGTGCTACTGGACCCAGTGGACAACGGGATGAGACACTTTTCTTCTGGGAAGTCAGAGGTGTCCTCTGTTGGACCATGACAGCTTTCTCTGGCCTACTGTAAAAAATGACTCAAAACCAAGCACACCCCACACCTGAATCCACGTGCTGGTTTTTCACCCACAACATAGTGCCAGCTGATGGAAACCAAAGAAAACATGCAGGTCTGACCTAGCCAGCTACCTTAATTTTCGATCCAGCTCCTGGTTATCCAAGAAGGACTTGGGTTAAAAACTAAGAGCAAATTACAAGTGGTTGTGTGGGCTGAAAAGGAAAAAACAGACCCACAGAGTTGAAGATCCTAAGAGATAAACACTGTTATAAAATGAGAACCTTACTGAAAACAATGCAATTTGTGTACAAGACTGATAAATATCCTGAAGTGTTACAAGAAATAGCACAGAGTTGTAAAACCAGTGAATAGTTGCATTTTCTATACTGCAGTACAGCAATAGAAAGGATCAGCCTCTCAAATCACAACCCACCATATGTCCAGCAGGAAGGGGACGTGGCCAACCTGCCTGGTAGGACATGCTGAAAAAGCAGTTCAGGTGAAAGACAGCCAAGGAAAGCACCGTGGGTGATATGTTATTGTATAGATGATGTATTTCTCTCATGTAAGTAATATTAATGAAGTAGTAACTGTGAGTTTAGCACCTATCGGTTAATAGTATTAATTATGTTAAGATACACATTTCTTTGTTAGAATTGCCATTTCAAAAAAGGTAGACCTGGGCTACCTGTTTGAAGGGATCCTTTTAGATCTACCTTTCAGTGCCTCACTTCTTAGAGGGAAGCTGCTGGTTTTTCAATGGAACATTTTAATCTGAAGTTTCCAGTAGTTAAATGTGGGCTTTTGTAGGAGAAGATTCAAGTAAAAATGATCCAATTTATTGGTATGAACATTTTAAAAGGTAAAGAGATGGCTCTATAGCTTACCGATTTTGTGTAGAAAATTTATCACATGAGAGTGCTGAACTACAGCATTACAGAAACTGAAGCTGTCAGGGCTATCAGTGAAACAAATGAACGAATCTCTACATGGTGGGACAAATACACGAGTGGAACAGCTATGGAATGTACAGTACCACTGACTGTATGGACAGCTGCAATTCCTACTAATCTTCGGCTCACCAAAAATATACAAGTTTTAAAATGGAAATCTAAGGCACACAAAATACCATAATGATTTGATGTATACTGTATATTACATAGTCAATAAGCATAAAACTGCTGGTACAAAACAATGGCATAATATCGGTTCTGTTTTATCATTATTTACAATCCCTTCATATCCTCTATTTGAACTAATATTAAGCTTTGAACTAAAATTTGCAGCATACCCGGTTTTTACAGGTTTTACTTAAAATAGGTAAGATACAAAGAACTGGTTCAATTCCTCCATCCTCTGCCATTAATAGCTTTGTTAATTTGAACAGGAATCTGTAGAACTGAACCCAGGATCATTAGCTAGTGATTGCTGCCTGACACCTGGCTCCTGCAAATACTGCACCTGGCTCCAGGAGAACAGTGCCACGGATCTACAGCCGCACCAAAGGATTTGTAGCACCAAGGTCCTGACTGGCACCAAGTGTTCCAAACACCACTGATGTACCTTTCGTACCAAAACTCTAAACAGAAGGAAAAAGCACCTTTCCTTTTTTTTCCTCAAGGAAAAAGCACCTTGTCTTTAAATATAGCAGATCCAGAGAGTTCATATTCCTCTATACAGCACCACTACAGGATAATATTATCAAGTATATTATTAGCATGTTTTCACACTGGAAAAGTGACTTCATTCCACCTCCAGGTTGCCCAGGCAGGGGACAGGAGGAGGGGACAGCTCTGTGTGTGGGCCTGATCCTGCAGCACTCGGAGCCCAGCGCTGCTCCTGGCTCCAGCCGGCTCACATGGAAGAAGGTGCAGGATGAGGGCAGTCCTTAGCTAACGTTGTCATTTGGTAATTGGTTTAAATAAATAAGGTTAAACAAGAAATACATAGGAGAGGAGAATCAGAAAGAAGAGTGGGATGCTACAGTATTTGAAAGCAATGGAGTGTCTGTTTTTCCTCTGGTTTAGCAAATACTCATTTCATGATATATCACTTTCTCAACAGAAATGAAGAACATAAATTTCAAGGAAGGATACAACTCTTTCCACATGAAATGTATAAATTGCTTCCAAAATTTACAAAACATTTTTGTAAAAAAACTGAACTCAAAGTTGGTGAATATTACAGCTAGGATATTCTTAACAAAAACTTTGCTGCTAAATATTAGAAATTTGACAGTTTTCCAACATTTCCTTTGTATTTTTCCCAAATTATTATTTTTAAAATCAGAATAGAATAAGGCAACTCTAGGGGGTATTTTTTATCCCAAAACAATCCACCCCTGAGGCATTAGGAATATTTGGTTGCCATGTTAACTTAGAACGCTGCAAACAAATGAGAATGATGCATTTATTGCTCAAAGAAACCCTAACAAATGCTGCCTTTAAAAAAAACCAGATAATATTCATAACTCCCAATAGCAACACACGTATTGACCAGACATCTCCTCTTCCATGTTTGTACACTCTCTTGAAAAAGAATAAAAAGGTTCTATAATTCATAACTGCTTGTTTATATGCAACATAAAATCTTCCATGAAAAAGGGCAAGTTTAAAACAACCACATATGCTATCAGCATACATCCTGCAGCTGTAACACCATGGAACTCTGCACAGCAAGAACAAAATCATTTCTTCTGTAGAGTATGCACAAACCTTAGACAATATGATCCTTATACTATACTATTTCAAGTTAATTTTAAAAATAGAAAGTGCTTTTAAAATATATATTTACAGCTTAGAAACAACTTCCAGCCATCATTACCAATAACTTCATTCCTCTGACGAAGCTAAAGAACAAAATTAATTGGTTTTCTAAAAGATTTGTCTGCAATTTGGACTATATAGCAATGGTTGGAAGTTGTTAAAGCAATGGCACCATGAAGTAATAATTCAGCTTATTTATTTTTAACTGTTTGATGTGGTTAAGCACCAAGAGCTGTGTAGAGCTATAACTGTATAACTTGATTTAACACCATAAAATGTGAACCTGTTAAAATACCTATAAATGATTTTTGTAGTAAACAGACGATTTAAAGCACCAAAATATAAATTCCTAAAGGTAATAAACTGAATGATTCAATCAAGGTTAATAACCTAAACAACATCTTTTTTTAGAATGTATTAAAACTATACAACTTTTTTTTTTTTTTGCTTAAAATGTGCTTGAGCACCACCAAATGTTAAAGTCACAGTTTAAGAAGAAATCCCCCCCCCCTTTTTTTGTTTTTACCTCAGCCTTAAAATGGTTGAGATGAGCAAATAGTAAACGACACGAGACTTGTTCTTTAAGAGCACCTTAAAGAAAGCTGTAACTGCACCAGGAGGGGCCCACCACGCCACACCTACGCCCAATGGTTGTAGGGCCCTGCCACTCGTGTCAGGGCGTACGAAGATACGGTGATTACGTTATCCTTGGTCACTGTTAATGCTCTGCGGGATGGAATTTGGTTGAACTCGTTGTCTTCGTAAAAAATATCTCTGTTTTCACTCGCTGGCTTTGCTTTCCTGTTGCTCGAGTTCAGTTCAGGATTCTCCGTTCCCAGTCGTTCCGCTTCTTTTTCTTTTTCTCTCGCCCTCTCGGCCATCTTCGCTTCCCACATGGCTAAACCATGTTTTGGCTCATTTAAATTTTTGTGCTGGTAAAAAACTAAAGAAATTCTCGTGGGATGATTGCGGTTGGGTTTTTTAATTGGTGTGGTAGCGTGGAGTTCACGCCTCGCACATTCGATTAAGATAGAACCGTGAGAAGGTGCCACAGCAACCCCACCAATGTCATCATCCAAAAAATTGTGCTCGCTGTCTGACCACAATTCCTCAGCCTTTTCTTCAGAATCAGCCTGTTGTCCCAGTGCACTGTTTTGCTTTTCCTCAACGCAGTCAAAGTCACAGAGCTGTCCTCGATGGGAGCTGCCCTTTTCCACAGGGCATCCATGGGAACAGTTGGGATCGGTTCCGGCAGCATCCTTTGCCGAAGAGCTCAGCGGTACCGACGGGTCACAGGAGCTGATCATCTCTGAGGAGGGAGAGCTGTCCAGCTGAAGCTGACAATTCTGTTTGTCTGGCTGGTGTTCAAGTATAGTGGGCAGGGGCTCTTTGTGGGCTGGGGGGCCTGGAGCAGTGACCTCGGGAAGAATGGGTGGCACGCCATTCACCTTCTCGTTCAGCAGAATTCCAGTATAATCTTTGACTGACACATCAAAGCTCTTGCAATTAACATAAGGTGTCACGTGAGGTTGCTTGGTACTGCATTCAAAATACCCGTAGGGAACTGAAAAATCTTGTTGAATATTAGTCACTGCAGTTAGGCCAGACTTATGTGTGAGAGATGGATATGGATGTAAACTATCCACCTTAAAGGGGGAGGAAGCCGTGTACTGTTTGAGCAAAGAGCAATTTTTAGTAGTGTTTGAAGTATGTTTCATGGCATAAACGTGGTTGGAACTCTCCATTTTTATTCCAGGTTTTAAAGCATCTGATTTGTTCCCTAGAAGAAATGCACACCAAAGTGTAAGTATACTGATCAATTGATAAAACACCTCTCCTATATTTTCATACTTGCTTCCTAACATGAAAAATGCACATTGACTACAGAATTCTCAAAATTATTATTTTTAGCTTTCTAGGAATACTTCTATGACTGTACACCTAATATAAAAAGTAAAAAAATAACCTTGCTCAATTAATGCCTTAACCTTTTCCAGTTAGTCTGCTAGTATATAAAACAGAAAGGTATTTCACAAAGGGATGAAGAAAATAAACAGATAAAATGAAATAACCACTGAATGCCAATTCACACAGCCCAGTCCAACAGAAATGTTTCTCAGCAGCTGTTGGCCTTCAGTTTTTACATAATTGAAGAAATTCAGCCTGCGAATCAGTCAAAGTTCTGACCTGCCTTAACCCCATATTATGATCAAAGGAAAAGGCATGTTTATGGATCTTGTCCCTCACAGCAAAAACAGTTACTGAATTACAACGATTCATGCATTCCAATACTGGCTCAGAGATGGCCTTTTAAAATAACGTATGTGGCAACATGCTCCAGATAAATCCATCCTTACAACATGGATTTTGGTCATGTGACTTGGCTGTCTTGCACCTTTCCTTTAACTGCCTCATTATTTCAGATCTCTGTGCAGACATCCTTGCTCAGTTTCTGGCAGTTCCTTAGCCATGGCTGCTGGGCTGGATGGGGAACAGGCTCCTCACATGACTGATTCTCATCATGCCTAGGATCAGCCCAGAGTCCATGGCAGTAATGGGAAAGAATTCCATCGACTTTGATGGGCTTTGCAGTGGCTCTGCAATGGCTTTACACGTGTTCTGCTGGCACACTGGCACCCCACAGAGGGCTTTTGCTTACTCTCATAGAAGACTGTCAGTGCTGCTTCTTTACTCCATAAATACACAGAATGGTTAATTGTTTTACACAGTGCAGAAGCATTATTCTGTCTTCTACTCTGTCTCCTACTAATTTACAAATTAGTGATGAATTAAAACCATTCCTCCAATAGGAATGCAAAAAAGTCAAAGTGAGATAATGACAGGCATAATAATTGGTATGCAAAACCCAAAAGCTGTCCAGGGACATGAGGAGGCCACATCAACTCTTAAAAAACCTGTTATATGAAATAGAACACAAAGCATTTAATGGCTTTAACAGCCCCCATGCCAGAGCAAGGCCTTCACCCTAAAGATTTTAAACACAGCATTTGAGAATTGTGCTCTCCATCACCTCAGAAGAGAAACATGTTCTGTGAAAGTAAGTTTTTTGGCACTCAATTACGAAGTGTAGCAAATAGATTTTTATTTGTTTTTTAAATGCTATCCCCCCCAAAATGCAGATATTCTTTAAAACACATTTACCTGTAATTCCTCCACTAAAATCTGCTATGTAGGTCTGGATGTCTCTCATGAAATAAAATTCAAAATTACAGATGGGCTAATTTTCCTCTCTTCTTCCTATTTATTTTTGACCTGCTAGTCAGAGAATTTAAGTCCATGGCTTCTTCCACCTCTTCCTTCTTTTCTATTTCTCATTACTGCCCAGTCCCACTCAGTAGTCCCACCCAGTGGAGGCCTGGCCCAGCTCTGTGCTGCCCACACGGGCAGAGGAACAACCACGGCCTCCCTGGCTCCAGTGCCCTGCAAAGGACACCTTGCACTGTCATTTGATAAAACCCGGGGGATGTTACAAATCTCTTGCTGTGCAGCGTTCATGCCATGGATAGGAAAGTACCACAGCTCAGATTTTAGAAAGCCATTATCTGCCATAGTTCTTGTACATCAAAGTGACAGAAATTCAAGTTACTTATTTAGGTAAACATTCCAGCAACATTCTTTCAAGATGGTCTAACTGCTATTATTTATTAGAATAAGGGAACTTGGAAATACTTCATAGGTGTTCACAGACCACCAACAAACTATTTTTGGGTGATCATCTGGGGTTTTTTCTACCCCATGAGACAGCACTGGCTACAGTGACTTGTTCATTAACTCCTAAAATGCAGAATATACAAGTGGTTTATTTTAAAGGAGCTTTTCCCTCCCATCAGATGTGTAAGAGAACACAGAATCAGAACAGACTGGCAGAATTTCATAAGTATCACTCACCTAAACAATGCAAAGTGTTACCAAGATTTTCTGGGGCTTCAGTTTTCAGTTTTACTGGTGTTGGGTATTTTTTATCTATTAATGGCTGCTTTTCACTCGGGGTCCTCCTTGTGTCTGGTTTCTTTTTCTTGGTAGCTCTGAGAGGCTCAGCCAACATTCGCACTTCTCTGGGGAACGCTGTGAGCACCTGTATGGCTCCGGCTTTTATCTTGGCTTCCAGGCCCTCTTCAGTGCCAAACTCATCAGTTTGTGAGATTTTGTACAGAGGCAGCACATGGAGCTGTTCATCACTTGGAATCACCCCCACTCTCCGGTTATCTTCCTTCGTTAAGGTACAGACCTGGCAGGAGCAGAACCAGTTACAAATAAACCAGGAGTCACGTTAAGGCTCAGGCAGCCATCCTAGGCTTCACTGCTTACTCCTGTTCTATGGCCTCAATGCTATGGGGCTTTCAGATGCAAAAAAATAATTGTTTCACCTATGATGACACAGAAAACTATTAATACTTTAAGATCAAGGCATATGTCTTGGACAGGAAAGTGAAATTTTGTCTCAGCTTACAGTATTCACAAATACCTGCCAACCTCGGTAAATAATCTCAGCTCTAAATATAAAGTCCTAAGAATTCAGATTATTTTTAATACATAAATATATCTTTGATGTTCAGATAATTTCTAAGGATTACAAAATATGAAAAATTATTTTTGCATTAAACGAGGAGTGTCTATGATCTGGAATTTATTCTATGATTTGGAATTGGTTTTGGTTTTTATTTTGGCTGGTAAATGAAAAAAAACCCAAACCTGCACAAACAGTCACTCATACTGCTTTATGTATTTTGCAAACCTCAGCTCTAACTCGCTCCCTCTCTCAACACTTTGTTCAGTTAACACCCCACTGTAATTAACTCCCAGGACCCAAGCAATGTTCTCTTAGGCCACTGCTCTACTTCCTGGTATTCTGTGTTGTGAGATCCTGGAGCCCAGAGGAGAGTGCTGGTTATGTCCAGTTTGATGAGTGCACATCACAAATGTGAGTAAATATTCCAACCTATTGCAATCTTATTGTTTTCTTATTGTCATTATAAATCTGAACATTTCCAGCACTCCTTGAGTTCCAGCTGTTACTGCCACTAACCCTTCCCCTCGAAAGCAGCATTGGCACTACTGTCCCTGGTGTCATTCCCAAGGGATGGCAGCAGCTCCGTGTGCCTGAGCACTTGTACAAACCTTCACCTTTCTGCAGTTCTGTCCCTTCCATTCCCAAGGAGCTGCTACATGGCCACAAAGCCATACATTGATATCGTGGCTTAGGGCAGCTGCTGTTTCACAGGAGTCACTAACTACACACATGAAGGAACAGCAGCACCATCTAAGGATGAGATGATACTCCCTAAATGGAAGGGTATCAGTCCATCATTCTGTAGGCTGAATCTGATACCTATCATAAACAGTCAATCCCGTTTCCCAGAATCTTGTCACCATGCCTAACATTCCAGGGGAAAAGAAAGTTATCTTTTAGGGGGTGAAAAAAAAACCAAACATTTTTTATTTTATAGCACAGCTTTTGCATAAAGGCATCACACAATTATTTCTAGAAAAATAAAATTACAGAACCACAAACTACAAAAGCCCAAACCAAAAAAGTGGTGCCTTGGGCTTCATCAATAGCTCTATGCAAAGCTTGGCAGTTGCAGAGCAGCAAAAGGAGGAAATCCGAGGGGCAGAGAGAAGGAAGAGCTTTTCAGGAGGCATTGGAAGGGATGAGAGGGGCTCTAGGGCAGTTAGCAGCTGCTTTGTAGCGCTCTCTGAGCTGCCAGCTCCATGTACTCACCTCCTCCGGGCAACCTCTGCACGAGGAGGCAGATTTAGAAAAAACAACAAATTGTTCTGTGATTGGCAGTGATTGGCACCTTGCTTCCTGTGGCTTCTCCATCCCGAGCTCCCACACAGCCCAGCCCAGCCCAGATCCTGCTCCCACCCCTGCTGGGCACCAGCAGCCCGAGCAGGGCCTGCCTCAGCCTTGGGGCTCCTCCCTCACTCAACATTTCACCACTCACAACAAGAGGTTAAAAAATCTCCAAAGACAATTCAATTTCTGCCAAGGTCAGCGACACCTGGTTGAAAGCAGCCAGCAGATGCCAAATTATTCAGGGAGGGTGAGAGAGGGTTGGACATACAGAGAGCAATATTACCTATGAGTGATGGTCTCACAAAGCCCAGTGCACTCTCCCCTTCTAAGTTATAAACAACAGCAGTAATAAAGTCAGCATGGAGGGGCCTGGCTCCCACTTGTTTTCATCACAAACTGGGCACTGGTCTTTCAGAATACCATGTCCAGCCTGTGCCTGGCCCATGCACCAGTCTGAAAGAAGTCTTGAAGATTCAATCCACAATACTTATTATTTTGAAAATTGAGACCCTCATCCCATTTATAAATTTCCATGTAAAAGCCAACACCCTCTGGAACAATAAAGATCAAGAACTGTTTTGAGGGGCTGTAGTATATTGACAGAACTATGGTGAAAGTACTGCCAACTCCAGCACACACCCTCTATATTAAATACTGAGCTCAAACAATTATTAGGAAATAAAATTGTACCCAGATCTGAGGACTAGCACATTTACAGCCTAAATACCACAACAGCAATTTTAATACATGTATACTTTCACAGTCAGTGCCCCCTTAATATATTTTAATATAAAAGTGAGGGTGCTATGGCAAACAGATAACTGAAAATAATGATATGGGAAAACTGGCCATAAATTAAGGCTGTACAGATGAGCTAAAAACTTACAGCTAAAGGTGGTAATTCACCAAATGAGGAATATCTGTTTAAAAAAATATTCCTATGTTCAAATCTGTGCAAAATATTCCATGAAGGAACTTAAAAGCAATTGCTGAGAAGTGAAAAGCATTATTTTCCATTGGTACTGACACTGCTGCAAACTGACCAAAATTAAACACAAACATGAGAAAACCATCAAGTCTGTTAAAGGCCATTTACAGCATGAAGCTGCATATTCTGCTACTCTGCTTTTTCCAGAACAGGCAGCTAAATCATCCAGGATGCTCAAAGGCCAAAGAAATGTTGGCCAAATGGTTTGTTTAGGTTTCCAATGTGCTTGGTGATCAAACCCATTACCTACTCTGGGTTTAGTGATGTCATGGTAAAAGTTGCATGTTTATGAAACATGATTATTATTCCTTTCTTTTAAACTTTAAATGCACCAGAAACTCAGTGCACCTCCCTCCAGACACCCATCTGTAGCCACGCAGCTTCCAGTGTGTTATTCTGGGTCTCTTTGATCTGCCTGTGTCCTCTGGAACCTCACATGTAGAAATGACAGAGCTTTTTCCACTGTGCTGTAATAACAAATGTTTTACATTCAAGTTTCAGCAGAGCACTCAGCCTTTCCAAACCTGAGAGAGGGAACCAGGTTTCCTGCACACCCCTCTCTGTGCAGCTGGAGACAGCGTGGGTGCCCTCAGGTGCTGCTGCAGCCTTGCCCACCATTACACATAAAATATCTTGGCTTTTCCTTTGCAGCCAACACAAATCACGTTGTTCTGCTGGCCTGACCTACCCTGAACAAGTGTGTCTAAGCCAAAACCAGAGAAGGGAACCCCAAACACATTTTCCTTTTGCCCACTTCATGTCCCCAGGCTATGCCATCTGACAGGTGACACAGGTACAGCCAGGAACTGCACTCTGGGAGCTCTCAGGTCAGCAGAGTGAACCTCTGATGTTTCTCCATTTGCACGATATAAAACCTAACAGGAGCCCTTCCTTTAAGGCCCAGGGATTCACCTTCCCTCCCCTCCTATCTGCTATAAGCTGAAGCACCAGTTTGAGCACTAGGTATTGCTGCAGCTCCTAGAGTGAGCAGGGGGTGCAGAACGTGGTGTAACCAGGCACAGACATCCTGTCAGCTACTGCAAAGACCTGTGCCAATGGTGAGAGGGGCTTTGCCTGCAGAAATACACAAGGGATGGCAAAAGCAGAGGGATTGGGAGTTCTATCTGAACTAGGAAGAGTTTGCTGATAGACTGGTGATTGTCACTACTGAGTTCTACTGCCAGCAATAAATGACATATTTTAGCTGCCCTCAAAGCATAGATTTATCTTCCTCCCCTTCTCCCCAGTGCCTGCTGCAGATTGTGTGGCACCAGGGATTACACAAAACTGCACCTGGTCTCTCTCGTTCCTCAGCCCCAGCAACAAGGGCCCTGTGCCCCCCTGGATGAGCAACAGCCACATACAAGCTGCAGAACCGGTGACACTTTTGGTCCCAGTCACTTTTAAACCCCAAAAAGAACAATGCCAGGGCCTTCAATGGATTCCCACAGGTATGGAGGACATGATCCTTCACAGCTTATCCAATAAAGAAACAAAAGTACTTACATTTCACAGACTCCATCAATAACTATAAAGCTTTTATCTGTGTTGCTCATTTAGCTTCACATCCATAAGGAACATGCACCCTAACACTGCAGCTGTAACGTACATCAGTGGCCCTTAGGAGAATGTTAAGAGATGACAAAAGAGTCTGAGTAAAAATGAATGGTATATTTATTGCCCTAAAGGTTCTTAAAAAACTCAATTTGTAAGCAGAAATTATTTTTGCTTCTTTCAGACAAACACATTAATTTACATCTCTGTAGAATTGTCATTCTACTACAGAGCAAGCAGGGAGTGTTTGTTTTTAGAGCTTTCTACCAGAAGCAGTATAAAGTGAGAGCTGGACTCTGCTAGCCAGGAACAATGTTCAGATCTCCAAAGACGATTACCATGCAATGGTAATCCCCAATTTGTGTAAGTTTAGATGTTCTGTTCTCTCTTGTATCTCCAGAGGGCATTTGCAAGACACTCCCACTACTGACACAACTTTACAGGATGATTTATTTTTAGAGTCACATACCAATAGTGCACCTGATCAAACACACATACTGAGAAAATGTTTTAAAATATATTCTTCTAAAGTGTACAGTAAACTTATTCCTTATTTTTAACTCATTTAATTCCTTCGCTTATGTCTGTGCCTTGTATAAGTAATTTGAATAGACTGGTTTTCCTTTCCTTTGGGTGCCCCATGTAGAATTCCTGTTGTACTTGCAGTAAAAGTGATTTACCAATGAAGAAGGGAGAAAACAAAAAGGTGTCAAACAGAGCCAGCAGCATTTGCAATTATCAATTTACAAGGTACTTACTTGAACCTTTTTAGAAGAATTTTAGATTTTATAAATAAAGATTTTTTGTTCATATAAGGAGAAAGGGAAGAAATGTTAACAACACTAACAAGGGCCAAAATGACAAGTACACTGTGTACAGACTTTAAAATGTAAGGAGTGACAAGCAGTTAAAAAAAACCCAAGTGAAGAACAGTAAAGTCATGGATGCTGGAGGTTTTTAGTGCAGTGCAAATTGTTCCCATTCTGCTCATTACCACATTATGAGGAAGCAATCTCTGTGAGAGCTGTCAGCTCAGAATTGTACTTGCACTCAGTTCATTTTACAGACAAAATAGTCAACAGTTATGTAAATAACCCCTCCATCATTGTGATCAGTGATTTATGAGACATCATCATGCATTTTAAGCTAAGCAGGCAACCACACAGCACCTTCTGGAACTAGACATGAATGCAGGAGGTGCTGGTATCACATGTATTAATTTTGGTTTGTGTCCTCACCACTCCATTTCCTATGGTATTACCAGACTTGGTTATAAACCAAAATTAACAACCCTAATTTTGATTGTCACGAAAATCTGGACTGAAGCAAGCACAGCATGTCCTGCCACCCTGTTTGCAAAAAGCAACATTCTTTGCTTTAGGCTTCCAATTCTATGACTGTAACTGTGCACAGAGACCACGAGGTAACTCCCAACTCCACCTTCATAATGTCCCAGTTCAAGTAGACAAACCCAAGTGTTGATACTTACAGCTGTTCTCTATTTACAAACAGCCCCCTGCTGTAAGTATACTAAAATAAAGAGAAATCCTATCTAAATAAAGAGAACACAGGTATGCAGTATTTATTTGTGAGTGAGCTACCCATGCAAACCAGATTGCAAGGCAGAGTTTTCAGTAGTTATAATCTTTGGTCATGTTCTGCAAAACTGAGAAAATTTGGCAGAACTTAGTAGGAAGTGATAATAATGAGTTCTGGTCCACAAGTTAGAACATTCCATGCTTCTGAGACTTGAAACACACCACATACAATCCATGAAGTATCAACCAGCAAGGACAATGTGAAGCTGAAATGCCATCAGGTGCTTACAGATAAATGCAGTTGTAGACCTGTTCCCCAATACCTTCCTCAAAAAAAGGTTTAATTGTCCCTCCAGGTGATTCTGGCCATAACTTATGACTTTTTTGGGATCCAGTATGACAAAATGAATAGCAGACTCAGCTGCCACTTTGTCTTTAATTTAGGGGGTAATGGAGCACTTAAACTATTTTTTTCAGAACATCTAAACTGAATTTCATCGAAAAGCATATCATGCAGTTTGTCTGACAAGGAGGTCTCATTTTCAAGTTTAGAATCTTTAAGGGCAACAAATTCCTATGCTCCACAAGAAATTTTGTGATGCACACTTCCAACACTAAGTAAAAATAATAGTCTGAGGACTGGCATTCCTGGTGGATTCCCAGAGTTGCTTCCATACTTTACAGGAATTTGTTCACCTTACAAGCATCAAATTAACATTAAACAACTGTAGAGTTATTTCATTGCTGTCATATACAAATGCTCAATGTTAACTATAGGTGTAAACAAAACACTTTATTGAATCACAGCAACAATAATTCAATTTGCATTTAAAAAAATAATTATAGAGATTTTAAGATAGATTTTTTCCTGCTATACATCCTTTGATAGAAAAGTTACTCCTGTTTCCTGCACTGCTGTACAAGAAGTCAACCCTCACTATTCAGAGCACTGTGATGCTCCAACTGCTCAAAGATCACTGCCAGTTTCATCTTTTCTGCTTTGAGCTTGTCTTTCTTCAACACTATGGTCTTAATTTCTAGAAGATCACTTAATTGAGTAATTCCCAACCAACTTTCCAACTGGCAATCCATCAAAGCATTTCATACAACTGCCACACACCAATCTGTGGGTTTTCCTTTCATCCTGAGATTTAAAGACTGGAACAACCACCTGCTCCACCATGATCCATGTCTACTTCCTGAGCTCTAACTCCATTAACATGAAGCCTGGTAAGTGCCCAGTGCAAGAAAGAGTGAATTTGATGAGCCTGGGGGAGCTAAGTTAGTAATGAATTAATTTGCTTTAGCTCTTCCTCTACAGATGTCTGTACAGCTCCTTGGTTAGACAATTATTTACCTTTAACATCAGCCCTCTCCCAGGAATAACTTATCAGGCCTCTCCAAAGGAGCAGGTGTCTTTAGAGAATGGAGACATTTTGTAGGAAGGCTCACTCCCATCCCCTGTTTGATCTGTTCTGCAATAAGATGAATTCATGTCCTCTGCAGACAGTAACAGATCCATGCAAATAACCTGGGCACTGATAAATGGCAACCTGCAGTTAACTTTGAAACAACTTTGAAACCTCGATGCAAACGAACCCGAGGCAGCCTCGGGAGCTCCCAGTGAGGCCAGTGAAGGGCACAGTGCAGATGCAGTGTACCTACCACAGTGCTGCCATTGTGCATGTTGTGTGTGTCCTTGTGGGCGTGGGCACAGAAGTCGATGCACGCAGTGACACCGGAGAAGGGCCGCCCGTCCTTGGAGCCCAGCCGGCAGTCGGGGCCCATGTGCTCGTTTTCCACCTGAAAGGAAAACAAACTGCAGCCACTCGCCACAACAAGTGTGGGGTCTGCAACCCCACGAGCCACCAGCAGCTTTGTGACAGAACCAAGGCAGCCAGGCACACTTAGTGATTCATGGTTTCCTATGAAATGTGTAATGTTTGTGGCTGCGTGCCAACGAGGTAATCAGGTCAGCCACAATCAAAATGTCTTGGATAGAAAAAACATTTTATTTCCAGTATTATCTCGAAGCATTTTTCACATATAAAATATAAAGACATGGTGCTACTTAGGCACCAGTTCAAGTGAAGAGGTGCAGTGTATGGAAACCTGCCAAATGCACTGGGATTCACTGCCCTGGGAGGGCTGCAGCCCCACCCAGGAACAGACTCTGGGGCTGCCTCTTGGACTGAAACTGCAGCACTCAGTGCTCAGAGCTGGATGTCACACACCCACCTGGTTCTGGAAAGCTTCTGGAGCAAGCTTCTTATAAACCGGAGCCACATCAGTAGCTAACGTTTGCAAATTATTTTCAAGAAGTTCCTCCTGCAGGGAAAGGCAACATTCAGTGCTGCAGTTTGCTTTAGAAGAACCTCAGGCAGTTTAGAGATGCCCAGTAGGTCAGCTTCTACCTCATATTTTATTAAATTGACTTTTGTTCTGCTGCCCTTTGTCCCTAACCATAAATGTCTACTTTTGCTGTTAAACAAAATCCAGCCAAATAACAATAGAGGATGCCTGCTAGGCCAAAGGAAGCCAGCACACAGGAACTAATTTCTGCATCATTTTCCATACACAGAAGTAACATCCAGAGGAGAAAAATCTTACCCCAGCTGAGTGGGGATGGAAGCCCAGGTCTTGTGTTAGTGTTTTGGTTATGGGGCCTTAGCCTATGCTGACACACCATGTGAGAAAGCCCTAACAGCATTTACCTTCAGTTCTTAGGTCTTCTCTCAGGTACTTTTCTCATATTGCAGCAGAACTTCTAACAGAAACATTTGTTAACTGTTTTGTTCTTTGGAGAGGCAAAAATCAGGACTTCATGGAAATAACCACTAGATTCAGAAATAATATTCCCTTCCTTAGGCTAAACCACATTAACCCAGAATTAGCTAGGTGGGCTTCTGTGGCAGCATCATATTTAAACTCTCATTTGTAGAAACAATCCTTAAATTCTTATCCTAAGCTTTTGCTTTTCCAGGAAAATCACCAACCAACTGGGAAAGCAGAGGGCAGTAGTGACAGACTCCCTGATTTTTTTTCCTCCAAGGACCAGGCTTTGAGAGACAACTGCAGCTTCAGTTTCTCACAGTATGTAGTGGCAAAAAATAACAGCTTGGTTCATTTTGTTTAAAAAAACCACACACTGGAAACACCAACATACATAAACACCAGCAGACTTCACTTTTTTCAGTGGGATTTACATTCTAAGACCATACTGTATTTTTAACTCGTTCCTAACCCAGCTTTATCAGCTGTAAATGGCTACCACAAGGTTTTCTGAACCACATTGAAGGTAATGTATCCTTAATTATCCATCCTAGCAGGAGGATATCCATCCTAGGAACCATTCTTTCCTCAGTATATTACACCCTCAACCTCATCTCACTCAGCTTCAGAAACCTACAGAGAAAATGCATGCAGAGAATGCTCCATGCATAGCATCATACAGAGAGAGAACCTAAACAGAAAAGGAATGGGATCCCTAAGATGAAAGAATGCTCAATAAACACATTTTCCCATAAACTGGAAGTTTATAAAACAAATTCATTTTTTTCAGAAGTTCATTACTTCACATAATCCATCACTGTTTTCTGTGCTGCCTCACCTTTATGGCATCACTAACACTCATGAGCAGCAATTATGGTATCAATTCACTGCATTGCATTTGATCTATTCATTCCTTCAAAACTACTTCAAAAACATCCACAAAAAAAACCCAGTTTATTCTTGGTGACAGAGGAGAGCCCAGGCTGTCAGCTGGTCCTACAGCAGTGGGGAAGCAGTGCAGCCCCAAGGTACAACAGTTTCTGTGCCAAGGCAAAAGGCCTGAAACCCTGAGCTACAGGCTTGGCCCTTTACTTACACAGAATTAAACTTTCTCAGAGAGTTACACAGTGAGCTAAATATAAATGCAGAAAAGCAGTAAGAATAATTTTATGGTGTATAAACACATAGTAATTATCCCACTGAATGAAAACTCAGTGTCATTTATTCTAAATACTACAGTTACAAAAATTTTGTTGGGTGTGAGTCAGTGGTAAGTTATGCACACATGTGAGAGAGAAAAGGGGTGGAGCACATCTAGATCTGAAAATCATCAGAAAAGGATTTTGAGAAAAAAAGATAAATAAATCTTACTTGTTTAGGGTCATCAGTGAGAAGCCTGAATTTCCTGGGGTTTTTGCTCCTGGCAAACTTACAGCCATTGAAATACATACTCCATGAACAGCCAAATGAGAATGATGCTCCACAAGTTTCTGGGTCAAGTCCTTGACATGCACAAGTACGACTACAAAAGGAAATAAAGATACATCAGGTCAGTTGGCAACACAGCTCTTGGGTCTGGGTTTTTCTAGGTCAATACTATTTTGCTATTTCTTTTACAATACAGAGCATAACAAAGGGATTTGTGAAATTCATGGATTTAGCAGGTATTTTCTGTTAAGAAAATACAGTCTCAGCTTCCCCAACACCCAATTTTGGGAGAGAAACATAAACACTCAGGTACAGCAATATAAATATTCCATGCATTCATTTTGACTTCTCCAGTTGGATAAAATCTTTAACCAAGAAAACAGCCCTCCTACTTAAGGTTATCCCAAATCCAATAGTTCTTGTGTTATGTGCAGCAAAACCATTAACTCCAAATTGATTTGACTTTCTGAGCAAACCCTCTAAGAACACAAACATCAGATTCAGGCCCCCATCCAGCTCTCAGAATCTGTTACATGAGGGCTACACAGAAATCAGCACACAGACTGCACTGCAGTTACAACATATTCTCCAATCAATTACACTAAATTCCTCAAAGAGGCACAGAGAGGAAGATCCTAATTTTGAGTGTTCAACCTCAGTCTACCTTACAAAATCTAAACTGCCCTTCTTGGCAACTCTGCCAGCACTGCTGTATGTGCACAGGGCACTGCTCTGTGTGTGTGTGCTCAGGGCCCTGCTCTGTGGGTGTTTGGGCAGCATGCACAGAGCCAGGAGCAGCTCATCACCTCCCCTTGCCTTTGGCACAGCACACAGCTCCCACTGAGGGCCTTTTCTCTAGGAAATTCCTGGTGTGACACCGAAATGGGAGCTGCTAGTTCGGACTGTTAGAGTTGAAGTGCTGCACTCTAGGAAGAGCCCAGGGCTGCCAGGGCAGGGACTCACTCTTCGTTGAGGGCGCAGCGCCGCCCCGTGGGACAGCCGTACTTGCGCAGGCTCTGGGTCAGCTCCTTGTACAGGGTGTCAGCCAGGAGATGTGGGATCCCCTCCCACGCCAGGATCAGGATCACGATCACGGCTGTCTGGCAGTGGTGCCCCGCGCGCTGACGGACCAAGCACAGCAACTTCTCCTCATCGCTGCTTCTTCGGATCACCTGCAACAAGCATTTGGGTCAGTCTTGGCTAAGCTGCTCTTCTCTGGGACAGGTAGGGCGTGGAAAAGCAAGAAATGCTGCCCAGAGTGCCCACTGTAAGCAAGACTCGGTGTCATTGTAAGCACAGTCAGCGTTGCACACTTAGCTCTGGTGTAGAACATGATTTTGTGTTGCTTTTTTCCCTGCAGTAGAAATAGCAGTACACTTTACAGGAGGAGTAATGTTTGAGCTTGTCCTAGTTTACAATGTAAAGATGTGCCCAAAAGTTTGGATTCTATCACCATCTGTTGGAACCAGGTGGGGCAGTGATCCTTATTTCTGTGGGAGATATCCTCTGCTAATGGACCATCTGTTAAAAACCAGCTGGGGCAGTGATCTTTATCTTTTCCACAGCCCATCCTTCCTCCTGGAAGATATCTTCTGTTAATGGCCACTGAGTCCCACTGCATGACTGATAAAATTCCATCATCCCAATGGGAGATTTCCCACCCAGGGGGAGGAGCCAAGCCTTTCCTACTTAGATAAAATCTGAGATTTGGTACACCAAGGCAGCCCTTACCCACTGGTTTCCAGAGGACAAGAGATGCCAGAACTTTCTACAGGATCACTCTGCAACAAGAACACTTCATGTGGACTGCTACCACCACCCCAACTAGCAGGGTGTCAGGTTGTATTCTGACCCTGTCAGTGGTTTTCTTTTGTACTATTGCATGTACTTTATTTTTTTTTTTTCTTTTTCCTATTAAATTGCATTTCTGACTTGGAGTCTCTCACTTGGTTTTGCTTTCAAACCAGTACATCAGTGTTGTACACAAACAATAAAGAAGATGCATTACAAGGAAAATAACCTCTAGAAGGACAACAGATCACCAGAGAACCTAACACTGAGTTCTCTGTTGTATTTTCAAGGCAATATCAAACACTCCAAAAGGCAGCTGTGTGAAAACACAGTGCCAAGGCACACACAGGCCATGTGCTAGGGCAGCTACCAGCGTTACAGATCAGTATCTAAGATGGTTCCCACCTTGCAAAGAAAAATTAGAAGGAAAACGATGAAGCAGACTGTGCTCTTAGTGAGGGAAAGATCGGGATTTCTCAGAGCATATCCCTAGCTACCTATATTAAAGTTCTTAAAGTGCTGGAACTTCTACTAACCTGTATGATACAGAGAGCAACCTTATTCCTCACACAGATTAACCAGTATGGAACAGCAGGATGCACTACTGAATAAAAATGGGAAAAAATTATAGTCCTACTGCCACAATCTGAAACAGAGCTGCATTTAAGACCACCAAAAATGCATTAAAGCTAGGTAATACTAGAATACAGTATTTGAAAGCAGGTTTATTCATTCATCCAATGTGTTTTAGCCAGCACAGCCTGCACAAAGCCTCCAGCAAAGGTGTCAACTTTGCACTGTGAAGCTTCAAACACCACAGGCCAGGCCCTCTCTGAGGCAGCAGAGGCTCCATCCTCCTCAGCCTTGTCACACAGGCTGGGGACCCATGTGGCTCCTGCTGTGGGTGCCCAAGCCCTGCACTGCAGACCTCTCTGCCTGCTCCAGGCCTGTGGCCACTCAGCCCAGCCCTCACCCAGCAGAGCTCCCACAGATAACACACAGCATCACTGGGCACAAAGCAGAAAAGCAGCAAGGCAACAGTTCACTCACTCTTTCAATACTTCCAAATATCTGAGCATTCAGGCAGATTCCCTGTTGGACTGATGTCAAATGTGCTTTGCTGCCAGATGTGCAGCTGTCATTCATATGTGACCCCCTAGCCTGATCACCTCTGAATATCTAAGTCATTTGGACTCATTAAATCAGAGACCAAAGCACACTTGCAATTCATCTGCAAATGAAAAGGTTTGCAACAGATGAGCAGTTGGAGAGAGCATCTGTGCAGGCTGAGCTGGAAGAAGCAAATTTAAAGTTTATTTGTGTCAGGAGATAAAGTATGGCCATTCTAAAGTTAATCATACTCTTACGATCAGCCTTAAGCTTAATGAGAATACAAGTAAATGCCTCTGATAGACCATTCCTCAAAAGCCATCTTGGTTGTGACTCCCCAACAGTTCAGTATGCTTGATAAAGAAAGAAAAATAATCCAACTCATTTACATTTAGCTGAGGTTTACAGAAATCCGTTTTGCCTGATACACAATACAGGTTGCTCATGTCAATGTGAGTTTTACATTCCTGAGGTAGCACAGTTCTTTCAAGCCAGAACAACTTAATTTTGTTACTCAGAGTGAAATGATGCTTTTACTTTTCTAATTTTTTAAAAAATTTATCTCTAGGCTGTAACTTCAATAGCATAGTCTGGTACTGTACAACATCAGGTTGCCCTTTTTAAGTTCTGTTATAGCTCTAAACTAGAAACAGAGTCCAGGAAAAATGACAAGTGAACACAATGAAAATTTATCGTTTCCTTTAAACCAAGACCACACTTTCCTGGAGTTCAATGTAGCTGGAATTTGTTTCATTATGTAGACAGCAGAGAATGCAATACTCTTATTGGACCCCAAAACATTTCAGAGTCCATCACCTCTGAGGCCACAAAGGCAGTGCAGGGATTTAGGAGTTCCGTGAATTTCATTTCTGTGGGTCAGGTTACACCATGTGCTCACCCAGCTCCACAGCCAGAGCACTCCCATCCTCTGCTCCTGGACATCAGGCACTTCTCCCACCTGCTACAGGCTCAGCAGAGCCCACTCTGCACCACAGCAGACCCACAGCCAGGACAGTGCAGCCAAAGCTGCTCTCCCACAGGAACCAAGGATTCCCTCCACGTGCTACCCCTGACATTCTCACAGAACCAATAAACTGAGTCTCTCTTGTGTAACAATAATAAATCTGCAGCAAAGCCACACTCAATGTACAGAAAAGCAGTTTTGAGCAGGACAACCAAACTCTGGAGTGTTTCCTCAGACTGGGAACAATGTAGAAATCAGCTGGCAAACCTTGTGTCCAAAGGTTTTTGGTATTACTCATGATTTCTGTGATGCAGTTAACAACAGCAATAAAGTAAATAATTTAATACTTTGGTTTGTTTAATTTTGGTCCCTAATGCATTTAAAAGGCATGAGAAAGTCATCATTTGTTAAGTGGGGGGAACTTAAAAGCTAGGTTTTTAGAATGGGAAAATAAAAACCTTTCTCTGCAATTGCTTTTCCACACAAGCTAACCATGACTGACTGTGTGACTCACACTGAAAAAATAACATAATCAACAAAACAGACTTGTAACAAGTTTGTGAAGCATTATGTAACACTTAAATGCAACAAGCAATTAGCACCAGCCTCGAGTTGCCCCAAGGAAGGTTTAGATTGGATTTTAGGAACAATTTCTTCACAGAAGGGACTGTCAAGCCTTGGCACAGGCTGCCCAGGGCAGTGGGGGAGTCCCCAGGCCTGGAGGAATTGAAAAGACATGCAGATGTGGTGTAGTGGTGGACTTGGCAGTGCTGGGTTAATGATGGCCCTCAATGATCCGAGAGGGTTTTTCCAGCCTAAGCTCTGTGATGCCACGGTCAGCTTCTTGGAGTCTGCAGGGCCAGGTCACTCCTGAGCTCATTTCAGCAAGCACTCCATGTCATCAGTGCTAAATATCCATCAAGACTCCCACATTAGCAATGACTGATCTGTTTTAGCTGCAACACAGAACTTCTGGAAAGAACAAAACCTAACAAACTTCTCCACAAAGCTCAGCTGACACCCACTGTCCCCACTCTGCACTCAGGACCAGGCCATGAAGTGACAGCTTCCCACTCTGGGACAAAAGGGAACAGTGACATGGGACACAACCCCTTAGCACAGGGCTTCCGTGCAGCACTCACACACTGGACACACAGTGTCATTTAGTATCATCCTTGTAGCTTGCTAATTTGGGCAGAATGCTCAGTTATTTTGACCATCCCTGTGGTACTGTAGTTGTGCACCCACGTTCTGCATTCCTACAGCTACCCAGGTGTCCTTGTGGATGTGAACATCCCAAAGAAGGCAGCAACTCCATTAATTCATTTTATCAGCCAGCCCAGAGAGTCTCCAACAGCAGAACCTGAGGATCTGAGCAAGCCTTCAAGGTGAGCCACAGCCAGCTCTGACACAAACACAATCAACAGCTCCTATGGCAACACACCACAGCCACATCTGTTTCTACAGCCACAAAGCTCTAGGCTTACCCAACTTTCTCATCAGAAAGCATGAGCCAAAAACTGCAGCATATTTATTGAAGAGGTGCCTTATACAGCAGAACTTGCTCCAGCAATTTAACAAGTTATGGGATAAATAAGAGAAGTTAAGATTTTTTTCACACCTTCGCATAAAAGGGGAGTGAACAGACAGAAAGGGATTCTAAAAATTGAAGAGTACAAGAACAAGGCCAGAGCAGCAGACTGTCCTGTCCAGCCTTATCCTGACCCTGAGTGTGACCAACAGCAGCTGCCAATGGATGAGCAGCAAAAAAAGGCACTGGGATGTGGAGATGGCTCTCAGTGAACCCACCAGCAGCTCAGGGGATGTGCTCTCTCCTGGCTTTTCAAGGATTTGCCTTTTCTGCAATTCTCCACTCATTTGTAATTCTATGCAGTAATCTACCACCCACTACATGACCAGCAAAGTTTAATTACAGATTATGTGAAAGAAAAAGCCATTACCTTCCCTTCCTGCAGTTTGCTCCCTGCCAGTGCCCTCTGGTTTTGATCCAGGCTGAGACTGGGGAAGGCTTGGCTGTTCAGCTCCCCATGCCACTGGAGACTGAGAGCTCTGCTTTCTCCTGCCCTCCCCTCCCTGCCAGGCTGCCCACTCTGCACCTGCCTTTGCCAGTTCTGCTGTGCTTTCTGGAGATGGGGAGCCAGACCCAGCCAGCCTGAGGGGCAACACACTCTCTCAGAGGCAGAACTACATTCCATGATTTTTTGTTCCTCCCCAGTAATTCTCACCTGTTTCTTTTGCTGTTTTCATCACAGCTGAACAAGCTGATGTCTGACGTCTAACCCTCAT